TAGAAAACGATCACCACAAGAGGGAAATACACAACCAGTCTCACAAGAAGGAAATATAAACAGACTCCAGCTGTCTTATCTTTTTTCTCTTCAATAATTAAAAAACAAACAAACAAAAAAACAAAAAAAAAAACAAACAAAAAAAACCAAACAAAAAAAACCAACCAAACAAAAAAACCAAAACAAAACAAAGAAAAAAAACCAAAACAAAACAAAAAAAACCTTGCTGTAACTCTCTTTTTTTTAGCTTTCTTTGAAAATGTAATAGTTCCTAAACATATGTCTGTATTCCAGGGAAGCATATCCGGGTAAAGATCCCTTATGCTCATTATGGAAAATATCTGACTACTGACAAAAGGATCCAAGTCACTGCTCTGTGTGAAGTCATGCGCTCGCAGGGGCTGAAGCTGCTGGTGGAGAAGACAATCATTTTAGAGGACACAAACATCATCATTAAGGTAAACAATTCTCTTCCTGATGTCCCAAACGGACACTAAAGGGTCTTTCTGGAGGTCAGATCTTAAGATGAGAATTTGGGGATAAATTAATTCATTTAGGCTGCCGTTTCAGACCTTGCTCCAAAATCCTGCTGCTTAAATTGAGAAGGCAAGGATGGGAGAGGCCAGTTCTGAACCTTGGCCTGAATCTGACCCTGTTCTTCAGAACAGCTCTCTCTTTCCCAGTCACATGCCACAGCTTTATGTTCACAGCACTCGTTCTCATTTCAGGTGTTCTAGTTACTGGCAAGTGCTTGTGTTGCCTTTAAACAACTTTGCCTGCTCCCAGAATAGAGGTTTAAACCCTTGATTCCAGTCATTGCTAGGGCCAGTTCTTATTGTTTCGACACTTCAGTTCTAATCAGTGATGTGCCAAAAAAGAAAAAAAAAAAAAGCCACTGAGCACCCCAAGGATCAGGCAGGTGTCAGGGACGTGTCTGTGCAGTCAGGGCTCTGTTCCACTGAAATTACACACAAAATATTGCAGACAGCTCCACAGCACGGCTTAGCTAAGCCAAGTCCAGCTTCAAACACCAGGAAAGCTAAATACCACAGCTGAGTTCTGACTCCAGAAGAGAGTAAACCAGTGACTGATCAGAAATGTGCCTTTGTCCCGTAGCTTCCCCGGAGGATTGTGGTGAACAGAGCTGCGACTCTGGAGATCTCCTACGCCAACCCCCTCCCCGAGCCCGTGAGCCGCTGCGTCCTCCTGGTGACTCTGATGAACCAGCAGGTCAAGATAAAGTAAGTGAAAGCTGCAGCACTTGCTCGGTCCTTCCAACATGACCAACAGCACGTCTCGTGTCTCAAAAAAAAAAAACAAAACCCCAAACACACTTGAATCATCTATTTCATATTTTCTATTTATGAACACAAAAATGCCACCAGGTGTATATTGGGATATTATTGTTTCTTAATCACACACTGTTTGTTCCACTTAGGAACATCTTCCACAACTGAAAACTATTAACATTCTCCTTCCCTGGGAAAGCAAAGGTGCATGTCGAATTCTTTTGTCTCTCTGAAGTTTGCAGCTTGGCTTCATGTTTCTATTTTTATGCACAATGCCCTAATACCACAGGTATAACTCTGAGCTAACAGGTCAGACGCTGCCATAGCTCCCCTTGCTTCAGCCCAAACAAGAAGTTGCTCTGTCCTCCTTTAAAGCAGGAGAAAAATATGCCATTTCAAAACATAAACCATTTAACATTTTCTATTTTTCTTTTCCTTTGGACTCTGCTGCTTTATGCATTAACTCACTGTTGAGTAGCAGTTCGTATTTCCTAGAGCTTCCTTTCATTATTATAAAAAAAAGTGACTTGCTGTGGCTCTGGAACTCTTTGGACAAGAGAATCCATAAAAATATGGAGAACATTATTCCAGTTGAAGACTAAGCCAATTTAGGCCAAAAAAAAGGTAAAAAACAAAGCAGAATGGCCATTAGAAAAATCATGTTATTGCCAAAATGGATATGAACCGAGCAGGTATTGGACAGATCTTTGACTTCAGAGTTTTCCTATTCTGAGTTTGTGTTGACTGTCCAAATTTGCAGTCAGCCCTAAGGCCTGACATGGCACTTCTCATTTCCATAAGTCTATTCAAGAGTAAATGAAGATGGCACTGTCTCATTTCTTAGTCTACACAAAGCCTCAAACCTTAAGTAATTCTCAAAACCCAAGGCTGGGGCACAAGTAACTGTTGAGTCCCTCGCTCTCATGCACTCCTATTTCTTGAGAATTTCATAAAAAGACAATGTAAACCTGAATTAATTGATTTTTTCCTTTTTTTTTTTTTTCCAGTTTGGCACGACTGGCACCGAGGGAGAGATCAAAAATTTATTTTGAATTCACACCTCGGAGGAGTGGGCCCTTACAGCTGCAAGTAGACTTCTCTTGTGACAAATTTTCACACATTAAGGGATTTGTAACCATTGCAGTAGCACCTTCATAATGTGATGGAATCAAACTCCTATTTCAGCAGTAACATGACAAGACATCCTCCCCTGGATAGGAAAAGTGATGACAGAAAGGAACTTCCCACAAAAATTGGTGACCTCTTACATTGCAATAGAATCAAGTCTCCTACTTTCACAGTGCTTAATTTAGTCTCTAATTGTATTTCTTCCTTTTTTTCCTCCCTCTTGAACTCTTTGTAGAAATAGTTTCACTGTTTTATCAAATCTCATTCTGTTCAGCTCCCAGTTTTGACTTTGCCATCAGGCAAACAACACAGTCTCTTTTTGACCTCATTCTAATTGTCAGCAATAAATAAAAATCATTCATCACTGTATTGTTTTGTAATGAATTTTACATTCCATGGACATTATTACAAGAAGTCACGAGACTGAGGAAAGTTCTTTTTCCCTCATTTCACAAGCCTCCAGCCTAAAAGAATAGAACATTTCCCTCCACTGTTCACCTAATTTCTGTATTTTGTGACACATGTAGCTCTGTGAATGGGGAGGAAAAAAGCCTGTGAAGGGTGGGAAAGCAATGTGTGGGGTCCATGACAGTATTTCTGTGGGCACAGGTCTGGCACAGAGTGGAGAACACATGGACATATTCAAAACAGTAACTTAATTCTTATGTAGCCTGACAGAGCCTGGCATTAATGTGACAGCCCAGCAGCACAAGGTCACCAACACTTTTTGCCCACCAGTGGAAGGTCACTGGAGACAAGGAACACGTTTGTCTTCAAACCTTCCCCACGTGGCTCCTCCATGGGCAGCCCCGGCTCCACCCCTGCAGAGTTTGCTGACAGATCCCTCTTCTGTGGGTTCCCAACCCCAGCATTTCCAGGTGCCAGGTCTCAGCTGGAACACACTTTCAGGCAGCTGTAAGGATTCCCTGTCCTTACCTCTGACAGGTAAGGACTGCCCAGGCACGGGAGCCTCCAGGTCACACTCCAGGGTGTGGGGCAGTCACAGTGTGCAAACACCTCTGCCAAGCCTCAAGATTTACATTTGCTGTACAACTGGCAGAAAGATTAAAGCTGAATTAATAAGGCCAAAATTCTGAACCACAGAGCTGTAAGGAGTTAGGGATATGGACACCTTTTTCTGATAATATTTCAGAGTCTGAGGCATCCAGATATGATCACAAACTCCTACTGAGAAAAAAAAAAAAAAAACAAACAAAAAAAAACCAACCAAACAAACAAAAAACAAGCAAGAAACCATAACAGAACTCCAGATTCCTTTTTTTAAAAAAATACACTTAAACTTCAGGCAATTAATTTGCCTTTTTGGTTCCTGGCAACCTTGATATGAATTGGAAACAACAAATACGAAGTGGAAACCAAAGAGAAAACAGAACAAAAAGGCAGTGCAGAAGCACGAAGGTGAGGAAGATGACGGATCATCCCTTCTCCCCTGACACCCCTTACTCCTCATCACAGTCCATTCAAGGTTCAGAACAGCGTTCAAGCTGCTCTGGGCACAAATTGGCAGGGTATGTTTGTAGGTAAGCTGTGACACAGGACGAGGGAGGAGACAACGCGAGGGAGCCGCAGGAGCTGAGAGCGCCTGTAATTAGAGTGGGAAGGGCTCGCACCAGCAGAGCAGCTCTGCAGCTTCCTCCGGGGCCAGACTCACAGTGCCGTGCCACAGAGCTACAGAGAAGCTTTGTACGTGCATTATGAACCCCGAAAAGAAAAAATTATTATTAAAAGCAGAGGCAGCCATTTAAAACACTTCTCTTCACAGAAGTCTCTGATCACAGCTGACTGGATAACAATGCCCTCTCTGGGGGATGTGCTACTTCACACAGAAGAAATGCAGATTACAGGTAACCACGTCAGGAACAGATAGTGAGAATGCACGTCTGTATTGCAAGAAAGAATGAATTACATGCAGTTATGTGAAAGATCTTCAGGCAGACCTGCCTTAAAAAAAAAAAAAAAAAAATGAATTACATGCAGTTATGTGAAAGATCTTCAGGCAGACCTGCCTTAAAAAAAACAGTGAAAAAACCCCAAACTACTGAGTGACAGTAACACTAATTATTACAAATTTACTCAGATCACTCCAAGTCCCAACAGCCAAGCTGTACAACAGGTATATTTGTCTACGCTTGCCCTCTGTACATAGTCTCCAAAAACCTAAACTGACACAAACCAAACCATCCAAAATTAAGTTTCTTGTGTCTGCTTAAGGTTATATTTCCTTCATTAGATCCGATTTGGGATGTTTTCCCCTCTAAGACACCAGAATACTGATTATCATCTTTCTTCAGTCATTCACCAGTTTTAAATAAGCATAATTGGATTCAAGATTGTGCAATTAAAGCAGTCATCAGTGGATGCTCACGTAGGATATCACTACAAAAACAGTAACTACCAACCACAGGTCACACCCAGCTTGTATAAACTCCAGCCTATGTAGCCAAGTCCAGTCCTGAGCCTTTCATTATTGGTGCTGGTGGAAGAAGATTTAGGATGTTCTTGCACACTTTCGTGTCCATAACCTGAACCACACACAAGTGAGGAAAAGAAGAAGGAAACCTCATGGCAGGTAAGTTCATCCTGATGGCTCCAGACATCACTCCTCCTATCCAGCTGAGTGAGATTTGCTGAGGAAACAAGATAAATTACATCTAGCTGTTCTCTCAGCAGCTTAGCCCTCTTTAGGTTTAATGTATTTATGGGTTATTCTACTGGAACTGATTTTCTTTTTACTATCATGGGTCTTGAACATATTCTTTTTTTTTCTGTAACACAGAAAAGTAGATTAAGAAGATATTTTTTCTATCATATCAATTAACTACTCTATTCAGTGCTTCTGCAGCCACCTAATCAACACTGTTGGCTACTGACTGGGGCATCCTGCTGCCCCATGGAAGTCCCAGGCTCTGATATCAAATGATGTCTGGCCTCAGACAGGTCACTTGGTGGCCTCTGGACTCCCACATTCCCCTCCCTACAGAGGGGCCATGGCAGCTCGTCTGTGTGGTGTTGCACTGACTCTCACTGTCCTCATGACTGGAGAGATCTCTAGTTAGGCAGGTGTGTCATGTAACGCACACACACACAGAATCCACCTACAGTTTAGTTTAAAGATGTTTTTCTGTTACAGCTTCACCTTTCAGTCAAAGGCAAAGGGAACCCTGTGCACATGATCAGCTTTTTCAGCAGTGATCACCAATTCTGCAGGCTTTTGCTTCTGAGCTTGCTCCCAGTGTCTGTCCACTACAGGATAGACACCCAAAGAAATTTTTAGAAGAAGTTTGTCCAATTGCACACTGACAGAATTATTGAAAATGTGTTTTTCTAACAGACACCAAAAGAAGAAAAAAATTATAAGATTTAAATTAAAACTATGAAGATCAAAACAAGGGTAAATTTGAGCCCTCATGGACAAAAGACTGGTATCAGGTTATATTGTGCTCTTACCCCACATACAAACCAACTTTTTGCTGATCTCCTGCACATATTCACTGGAAATGCCTGTACAAGCAGGGACTTTGCAAGGCAAATCAAACTATTAATGCAGGAAATTCTTGGAGCTAACCACTGCTAGCCACTGCCTTTATCTTTCCAACCTCTCCACACATCCCCTCTAACTCTGCTGGACAACTTCTTTGCCTGTGACAGCCTCTGACGTGCCCCCTGCCCCGCAGAGCCTGGACACTGAACTCGCACAGGGTGAAGTGCAGCAAGACTAAACAACTTCTTTTCAAACCCTGAGGCCCTGCAGAAACACGTTCCAAGTCACTCTTAAATTAGAGGACTTGATGTTGGGGATGATGCTTTCTGTGGGTCCCTTTCAATTACAGATATTTGAGTCAGGAACACAAAGCGATGACGCAAGTGAGACACTTTCCAGACATTTTGCATCCCGTGGCACAGACACAGCGCTCCTGTCGGTGGAATTTTTGTCTCCAGGTGACACACATGAAGCAAGACCCTCAGCTGAAAGTGTTTAAACACACTCACAGACTAGAGGAAAGCCACCCTCACTGCAGCCTCAGAAATGCACGTGCACATTCACATTTCTTCCAGAAAGCTGAGGAATGAGGACAGTCCTGACTTTGTGAAGACTTCACAGAATATAACTCTCTGCTGCAAACGCAGCAGAAAACTCAGATCTCACCCCCTCTATTCCTACAGCAGAGCCCTGTGGGTTCCCTCAGATAGGAGCCTCTCTCCAAGTGACTCAAGGCAGTGCTAAACCAAGTCCTGTGTCTTGGTTCAGTGAAATGATGGAAGTGTTACATGTCTGCAAAGGGTTAACGTGCTTGAGTCACAGCAGGAAATTTTCTTCAAGGGAAACTCCTCCGAAATGCACAGGGAGAGGCCACTTCACAAACACATATTTTCATAGAGGGATCTGTATTTTTTCTGCTTTTTTCGTTTGTTACTGCCGTTTTTTAATTCCTCAAGGGACAAAAAAAGTTTGAAAGCTTTTGTAATCTGTGCTTCAGTGCCCCATTTTCAACAGTGACAACCCATCACAATACAAAAGAGCAACAATAGCACTGCCTCAAGATATGCCACTCCTAGTGCCATCATCTGTCCTCTGCTGGTTATCTTTTTCCAACAGAGTGTGAAATAACACCCAGCTTCAGGCAACAGGACTGCAAATTAACTGAGATACAAGATACATGAGAAGATAATGTACAAGTTCCACAATGAAGACACCAACCTTCTAGTCATCATCTGTCAGAAAGTGCTTCCAGAGTCAGGCTTGCACTCGCTCATGAGAGTTTTAATACTTCTTTCTGTACATCTGTAAAGCTCTCTGTGAACCAGAGATCCCCACAGGACCTCACAAGAGCAGGAACATGGGGAACAGAACAGACACTTCAAACTTTAACAAAGTCTTATCTAAATAGAGCAGGTTTTGATTTTTATTTTTTTTTAAATCAAAGATGAATTCTCTGAATGGGTGTTTTTTCTCTTTCAGAAAGTTGCCTGCAGAAAAGATGCTTTAACTGTTCCTCTACACTGGCATTTTTGCCATTTTTAATAACAGTGGATTTTCCTTTCTCCTAGAGCACATAACACCAGCTATATATAAGTATAAAAAAATTACTACATTAGACACGATGAAAAGGTGTACAAGCTTGAAGGAAAACCTTTTTTAATGAACATGTCTTGTGTCTTTCTAGCCCTGAAGATAACAAAAGTCAATTGGCAATCCAAACTAAATAAAGCTGCCCACCACACCTCTGATTACAGCAGCACAGAAGCAATCTTCAGGAGAGGGCAGCCCTTCAACATCTCTCTGAACATCAAAACAACAGTGCAATCTTGGGACAACTTCACCTTTATTGCAAGCACAGGTAATTTCCCCATGGCACTCACCTCATATCTGAGTTATTCCACCTCCAAAATACAGATCTGTGTGGTCCATTCCTGAATCATCAAGCTGTGTCCTGTATCATGTAGGATTCATTGTCCTTTTAGGCTTAGGAGTTCCCATTTTTAAGTTTAATCTGCAGTTTAAGGAAATAGAGAGAGTAAAGGTAATAATTAATAGGAAGGTAGGTGCCATGCTCATTCTAAAACCAAACCTGTACCTCTGCTCCTGAGGACCTACCTGGAACGCTGCAATTTATCTCCATTCTGGTCCCTGAGCATGTTACAGCTCTACCTCTCACAAACCACCATCCCCAATTCATCTCCTCTCCTCCCTTACTTCACCCCTTTTAAAATCCCCTTGATTAACTTCATGTGTTCCCTATTACTAGAACAGCCCACATGACCCAATTCATAAGAACTCCCACCTACATCTTGCCAAAAGTCTCCTCCAAAAAATCCTCCAGGCAGCCACTAAGTCTCCGTGACACGTGTATTAAAATGTGTGGCTCATCCCGCTCACATATTTTTGAACTGTCAAGTTTTCAGAACAACAGACTTGCCCTCTCACTTGCCTGGAATAATTAGGGGTGTGCTCACCTCTGGAGTGAGTTTACATTGAATAAACACTTAATCTGACAACCCACAGCCTTTCCATGTGGGTTTCCCTGACCCCAAGTTTGTCACTCACAGCTGCCACTCAGAATTGCTGTCCCTGTTCTCTCTGGCAGGACCATCTCCAGCAGAATCACAGCAGACCAAGGCCGTATTTACCCTCTCAGAGGAGGGTGCCAGTGGCTGGAGTGCAGCCCAGGAGCCCAGCGAGCCTGGCTGCCTCAACTTCACCATCCTCAGCCCAGCCAGCGCCGTCATCGGGCGATACAAACTCAAACTCCAGGTCCTTTCTGGGAACAAGGTCTTTTCAAAAGTCCTGGGCCAGTTTGTGCTACTCTTCAACCCTTGGTGTCCAGGTATGCTTTGATGCATCACATTCTTCAAATATCTCATTGTCTCAGCCAGGAATTCTGGGGGTCACAGTAAAGTCTGAACCTGACAGTCACAGCTACACAAAGTTGGGGTTTTTTGCTTAACACCAAGGATCAAGTTTTTGCCCCTTCTTCAGTGCTTCAAGCTATCAAAGACCCCAGACTTTTGCTTGTAGGATAAAAGATCAGAGGCAGGAAATATTCCAAACATTTATTCTAGAATTTTTTTCCCTCTGATTCTTGCACTCAGTTGTAAACCAACCAACATCTACCAGTAAGACACACAGTGAGATTAGTGAAGTTCCCCTCAAAGGAATTTCATGCCGATTTTATTCACTCTCTGAATAATTAGAGAGGTGTAGCAGGGAGTCCTAAGCCTGAATGCAGGGGCAGCCTGACCTGCTCCCTAGATCTCCCCTCTGTGTGAGATTTTCAAAATAATTTCAGCCATCGTGTCTCATTCTGCTCTTAGATGATGATGTCTACATGGCTAACGAGAGGGAGCGACAGGAGTATGTCCTGAATGACAGTGGAATCATATTTCAGGGACTGGAAAAAGATATCCAGCAAGAAGCTTGGAACTATGGACAGGTAAGCAGCATCACCTACTCCAGAACTTTCAAAATAAGCACAGTGGGTAAACAGCCTCTTCAGGAGAGAGAATCATTATCTCAGAGCATGAGAGCTCAGTATTCCTTGCTGAGTATTCCTTACTTCAGATTTTCTTACAGATATATGTCTCACTTATCAATACATTACAGGAGCATCAGGATCATTTCTGCTGTCTGGCATGTGCTAAGACAGAAATAAAAGAAACAAAGCACAATTTCATTTTTCTTTTGCTCATTACTCAAACTGGTAAAATTTTTTGACCCTTGTAAAGGGCAAAGAAAGCCACCAGGGATTGCAAAGCTGGTACATCTAAATATTTACATAGTAAATATACATAGTGATGTATTTCAACTAGTAATTATTTACCATAGTTAATACATAGTAAATATTTACATAAATATTTACGTGCTCACTAACAGGCACTAAAAGGATATCCCAGGTCAGGGGGGCACCCTTGCCTGGCCACCTCCATAGAGCAGAGCACTTGGGCATTCTCTGGGCCCAGCACAGCATCCCTGTGACCCTAATCCACAATAATTGCGTTTGTGGGTTTCTTTCAGTTCAGGTGATCTGCTGACCCGAGGTGCAGGCAGCCCATGGGAGCAAAGCTTTCGTAACAGAAGGGTTCCTGTGGGGGCACGGCAGGATGTGGGAGGGTGTGAATCCTGCTCAGCCCGACCTGCAGTGGTCCTGTCTGCTCCACCAGGACACGTAATGGCTTTGTGGATGCCAGTGGCCATGGCCCCACACCATGCTCACAGACACCTTGTCTTTAAAATCCCATGGAGAGCCAGCAGCCTGGTGCTCGTGTTTTCTACTTGGCCCTATATCCTTTAACAATACAGATAATGCCTCTATTATCAACGTTACCCTGTTGTGCCAGGAGAAGGAAAATGGATGGGGAGTTTATCCTGGGGTTTACTTACAAAATTAGCCTTGTTTTGATTTCAGTTTGAAGAGGATATTCTTGATATCTCTCTGGCTATACTGGATCGGAGCCTGAACCACCGAGAAGATCCAGCTGTTGATGTATCCAACCGAAACAACCCTGTCTATGTGAGCAGGGTGATCAGTGCTATGGTAAAATGATCATCACTTACAGCTCTACATGCACTTACTAACAGAACCCCAACACCTGAGTGTGAATGCCTCGATGTTTTACAGGTGTAGATAACTATTCTGCAACACAATAGCTACAAAAGAGGTAAAATACCCCAAAAGTTTAATTTACCTTCTTCCCAAGTGTTTGCTCATAACTGAAGGAATGTTTCCAAGAACTTCTGGGGAACAGTGAATCTCAGATATATTTTCCTAACAGATTTTCAGTCCATTAGATCTTCTCACTAATTTGGAAAGCCTGAAATCACTTGCTAAGTTTTTCAAATACCAAGAGAAGCATGAAATATTGTGGAAAACCAGTGCTGTTATGGCCACATTTAATGTGTGGATTTAGTATTCTTCACTTAAGGGATATTTGTTCAGTGAGGCCTTTCTGCATTTCCTGCAACCAATACTTGCACAGCACCCACACAAGCTCACAAGCACATAAATGCACAAGCAGGCAACTGAAAAGTTTTCCATTTTATAAATAATACATGCCTTCCCACTTTCTTTAGCTGAGATTCCTCCTTTACAGCTGTGATACTTTTCAGCCTTTTAGACAGCAATCACTTTAGGCAACTTCAGCTTCAACATGGAGTAAATAACTCCTCTTGGATGGACAAAATTACTAAAAGTATGAATACTTAAGAAAAAACAAATAAACAAGAACTTTCTGCTTTCTGTACGACCACGTGACACTTAGGGCTCTACAATGGATGTGCACAAATATATCCAACCACATCTAACAAGTTTGAGCAAGCTATAAGTACTATATGCACACTTGCAACAAATGCACATTCAGAGAGAATATTGACTTCTCAAGCCTTCCACATAAATCACCCCAGAACATGAAACAATATTGAATGCACAGTATAACGACACACAAAGAGGTGAAATCCATCAGTGAAACAGAGAAAATGTAAACAGAAAATATAAACTAAAAACAAGGCAGCTTTGAATCGTCAGACTCTACAATCTGATCTGGGTTTGGTCCAGTCATTGCACTCGAACAGACAAAATTCTAAGGCTCAAATGCTCTGTCCCACCACCCCCATGAGAACAGTGGCACTCACGGGATCACTTCTGCCTCTTTCTCTCCCTCTCTTCTTCTGTAAATATTTTAATTCTCTCATGAGAAGGACTCTTTCAGGTCAACAGCAACGACGAGAAGGGAGTAGTGGAAGGGAAGTGGAACGGGAAGTACCGCTCCGGGACAAACCCCCTGCAGTGGAGTGGGAGTGTGACCATCCTTCGGAAGTGGCACAGGGGGAGGTACAGACCCGTCCGGTATGGCCAGTGCTGGGTCTTTGCAGGAGTCACCTGCACAGGTATGAAGGGATGAAGAACGAGACCAGAATGATATCAGGAAGGAAGCTCACTAGAATTGCTGTAGTTTTAACTTTCTGACAATGTTGTTGAAGTTGTTCCAACTGTGGCGGAGAGGGAGAAGAACCTCCGCTCCCCACGGGTGAAGGGTCTATTCTAAACAGCCACAGGTTGCAATACTGCACCCCAAACAAAATTCAAAGTGGTTTGCCAGGCTGGGCCGGTGAAAAGGGCAAGGTTTCCTGTTTCACAGCTAGGATTCAAAGAATACCAGTGATCTTTTAAGCCCATCTCCTCACAATCCCATTTTCTACTGCTGTGTCTTACCTACCTACTGCTGACACAAAACCAAGTCACAATTCTAAGGACCTGTAAAAGGAGCTGCAAGTCAGGAAAAGCATTTCTTATTAGCAGTTTCCATTCAGAGCTGCTCTGAGACACAAGAGCTTCTTTGGGGAAAGTACAGAGGAAAAATAATGCAATTGAAAGGTATATCTCAGAAAGTAAGAGGAAAAAGAAGCAAGTAACAGAGGAAGAAATAGAGGGAAAATGGGAGAGAGAACAGGAGGAAGAATCAAAGATTAAAATAAATGGGTGAATCTCACTCTTGTTAAAAGGACATGGCAGCTAAGAATGTCACGTGAGTGGAAGTGTCTTCTAAGCAATTGTGCACAATGAGTATGACTTGTATCATATCTGGAGGAAAATTCCTGGGGGTTTGTTTCCCCTCTGAAAACATACAATATATACACTGACTGTTTTGCCAAGAAAAACAGAAAAATACTTTCTAAATGTGTGTAAAATAGGTTTACAGAAGTTTTATGATATTCTATATTGCAGTACTGAGATGCTTGGGAATACCTACTCGTGTTATTACCAACTTCAACTCTGCCCATGACACCAATATAAATCTGAGTATTGATAAGTACATTGACATTTCTGGAAAGACCCTGCACTTGACTGAAGACAGTGTGTGGTAAATATACATATTTTTTAATTATTTCTTCCATTACATTCCCCACTAAATAAAAGAATCATGCTCCTGAAAAACTACTCCAACCTCATGCTGCCAGTGCTATAAAACCCCACACCAAAGAATCCACAGAGTGTTCAGAAATTCAATAAGTAGTCAACTTCATGATTTTGAAGAGTCAACAAAGGAGATGCTGTTTCACCTCAGAGAAGCTGTTAAAAATTGTTCTTTTGAACAATTGTGAACAATTTTGTGAAACAAGTGCCCACAAATTATCACACTGCACAGATGTATTGTACTGCAGCATCAGTGCCTCAGTCACCAAGCACAACACACCATCTGGACTGAATGGGACAATGGTGACATGAAGTAGAAAGAAAATGTGAGTTAAATACCAACAGATAGCAAAGTGCACAGGAGACCTTTGGCTGTTTGGTCTGGAATGTCCAGAATTGAACTCTTGACTCTGTGATGAATTATTTTCCTTTTAACATTTCTTTTTCATAATGTCTCAACATTTCTGAGAGACCTGAACACAAAAATCTGGCACAAAAGGGGAAAGAGGTACTCATGTAACAAGCCAGCAGCTGCTCTCTCCAGTTTTCATTCACTCAGGATTATTAATCAGGTATTCCATATTCCACCTCCCTTACAGGAATTTCCATGTCTGGAATGAAAGCTGGTTCACTAGAAGAGATCTTGGTTCTTTTTATGATGGATGGCAGGTTCTGGATGCAACACCCCAGGAAAAAAGCAAAGGTAGCACTGTTGTAAACATCAAAAAATCCCCACAGATAGTGTTATTCTGAAAGATTGCCACTGAAATTTCAGGACAATTCTCTTCTATACATTCCCTGTAGACATAGCATTACTTTTGGTGCACAAGAAAAGCAATATCCACATCAATCTCCAGTAGGCAGCTTTTCTGTCAGCCTCTGGATCACTTACCAGCACGTCAGTTCTTCCTTTTTTTCCATTTTGATTCTCTGCCTCCACAACAGCCAGCACATCTGAAGTTCACTTGTCCTGCCCTTGCTTGTCTCAGCTCCTAACACCACACAGTCTGATTCCCCAATACAAAGTTTAACAAATTTAGTTTCTTGGATCTTCTCAGTGCATTGTTGACTCCCATCCCTTAGGTCTGACTGCATTTCTGACCTGGCTCACACCCTCTCCTCTCCTTTCACCAGACAGCTTTGCTGGCAGCCCTGCAGCCTTTGCAGGGTGAAACATTTCACACAGCACACATCATAAGAAGCTTTAGCTCTCCCTGACAACCTCCCACCTTTTGATAGAAAAGGCACGTGAGTCTCTGGGCATTCTGTTACCATAATACACAGACACACAGACAGTGAACTTCACCCAAATGCATCTTTGGAGTGACTGCCAGCGTGAGGATTTATGTCTTTTGCAAGAGGCAGTTGTTTAACTTCTCCCTCTCCAATACAGGCATCTATCAGTGTGGTCCTGCCTCCATCAGAGCCATCAAAGAAGGGGATGTGAACCTGGATTATGACAGCCCATTTGTGTTTGCAGCAGTGAATGCTGACTGTGTTACCTGGATTCGCCACAGCAAGAAAAGAAAGGAGAGGATTTATTCTAACACCAGGAAGATTGGGAAATGTATCAGCACCAAAGCAGTGGGCACCAACTCCCGTGTGGATGTCACTGCTAATTACAAATATCCAGAAGGTAAATTCTTTATTACAGTTGTCTTACCACTGATGGTCAGAAGTGAAAAGAATTTAGGCCTTTGTTGGACTGAGCGCTGACTTAATTTCTTTACTTCTCCTAGAGCAAAGTAGCTGTGTTAGATCTCACTTTCTCCTCTTGAGTATCTTTGCCCTTCTCAGCCTTCCTAAATTTCTGAGATCAATCCTGGCTCCACTGCACTGCATCCAGGACACACGAGATCTCTGACCATGTTATCTTTCCAAGCAGGATCCTCGAAAGAAAGGCGGGTGTACAAAAAAGCACTGAAGCTGCTGGGTGTGAGAAGAACCGGAAAAAAACCCAAAACTAGAAAACCTAAAAGGCGATTTTCAAGGGCCCAAACCCCCAGTATCTCAGGGAAGCTGATCCTCGACGCATCTCCTGTGATTGGCCAGGACATCCTCCTTACCTTGTCACTCAGAAACCTGATCTCAGATTTCAAGACCATAAAAGTTAAATTGAAGGCTTCAGCCATTCTCTACACAAGAAGACCAAAGGCAGAGATTTTAGAGCTGTATAGGTCTATTAAACTGGGATCAGAAGAAGGTAATTTTAATTTTATTACACCTTTTATTGCAGGACAAGACATAGTTTTGGTTTGTGGTCAAATCACATGGAAATAAAGAATGGCTCAAAAAGTGTATGACCTGCAATCAGCTGGAGGTCAAGGCTATTCAGGGGAAGAGAAACATTCATATTTTCCTGTCTTAAGCATTTGCTTTTGGGCACTGTCAGAAAAGATACTGAGCAAGGTGACCTTTTGTCTGACCAAGCAGGGCCACTGTTGGTGCTACATTATGACCTTTTTTGCTGAGAAAGAACAACTAAGAGACAAAAAATGGACACTAGGGAGCTACTCACATATATCCACCCCCAGATCTGTCCAGCTACCAAACTGTACCTGATAATTCAGTGTTTTATGTGAATGTAAGTAGAAGTCACTTATGAGCATCATTCCTGTCTGTGGGTGTCAACACCCACAAATGTGCAGCCCCAGGGTGATGGTGTACATGCTCCTTAAAATACAGGTACCTTACAGATAGTAGGGACTTAGAAAAAGGAAGAGAGGGAAATTTTGTTTCCATTTCCATTCCAGTGAAGGAGTTTTCATTCGGGATCCCCTATTCCCAATACAAAAACTCTCTGCTGGACGACAGGAAGATCCTGGTGACTGCTGTGTGCCAAATCAAAAAGGGAGCCTCGCTTCTGGTTGAGAAGGACATTGTCCTTCAGGATCCTTTTCTCACCATCAAGGTAAAAACAAGTCCTCTCTGTGACCCTTGAGAGACATGTTGAGAAAAAGCAACTAGAATTCCCACTCCTCACAGGAAGGAGTGTGGGAAGTGAAATCAAGGTGACTGGATCTTGTTGCTCTGGTAATGGGCCATATGACACAAGTGAAATGAAGTACACCGAGGAAAAGCAAACCTTTCCATGGCATAGCTGTGGTATTCTTGCCACAAGTCTCAGTGTTACAAGAGTTACAAGGCAAGCTTATCTACAGAGAGACAGGACAGAGAGGGACAGAGAAATCTGGGCTGTGTTTAGTCCTCCGCTTTTGTTAAGGGAGTCTGATCAATCTCTTCCAGTTTATTTAGGAAGACTGATTTTAGGCAGACTGATTTTTTAAATGGGAATGAAAAGAGAAAAGCACAAGAAATAGGTGAGAATAACACTGTGGCTGAGCAAGATGTTTTGTCTCTGGTAGGTCCTTGGTCCAACAGTGGTACACCAGGCTGTTAATGTGGAGGTCACATTTACCAACCCACTGTCTGATGAGGTGACAGACTGTGTACTGAGAGCTGAAGGTAGTGGCCTGCTCAAAGAGCAACTCAGAATCAGGTATGTAAATGCTGCTGGCTGAAAACTCACTCACTTTGGGGGGGAATCTGGAATACTAGTGGGTTTTTAAAAGTATTCTGTCAAGCTCATGACTTTTGTTGGCACCAACCTTGTACAAAATACTATCATGTCAGTACTCTCCATGTACCAGCTGGAGTTTTTTACACCTCTTTCACCAAGTTTTGAATTACAGGATGCTCAGGGGGTGGAGAGATGTCATACTGTCTTAGATTTAGGGATCCGAAGAATACATAGCAGGGAATTTTCAGCTGCTTGACCTTACAAATGCATTCTCTCTTTTAGTGTGGCAAGAATGGCCCCCATGGAGAGTTCAACAGTCCAGTTTGAAATCATTCCCTACAGGAGTGGCACCAGGCAGCTTCAGGTGGACTTGGTTTGCATCCATTTTTCAGACATTAAGGGATTTGTGACGCTTGATGTGGCTCCTGCTCAGTGATATAACCTGTACATCAGTTCAGTTGTGCCTGTTTATGAGGCTGGTGCACTGTCCATACATTATTATGACTGGGAGCACAGAAATGCAGATTACTCAGCCAAAGCAAGGCGATGTAATAGGAGTGGAAACTAATAAAAAGGTACCACACACATTGTACTGTAAAGACAGCGTCGCCTTTTTCAATCCCTAACCTGTTTTATGGACCTTCACACATACAATTACTAGTGGAAATTATTATATAATTTAAATTGAAGGAGAGGATCAAGTGTGATGGTTTTCAGCATTAGAGCCTGTAGCAATAATAGCAGCTGGATTTCCAAGGAACATAATTTAAAATCACTGGTTTCATAAGCTTCACGGAATGTAATTTAATCATCACAGAATCACAGAATGGTTTGGTTGGAAGGGACCTTAAAGCTCATCTCGTTCCAACCCTCCTGCCATGGTCAGAAACTTCTCACTTTACTATCAGGAAAAATTGGCCAAATTGACAAAAAGCACCCTATGACATTTATTTTTGTTTTGTACTGGAACCACCTTCAAGGTTGTTGTTTGCCAATGGCTGCTGCCACTCAGTACAGCCCTTTCTGTCTCTTACAAAACCATTGTATCTACCCTCCTAAATTATGTTAGAGGAATTCCTTTCATGCAGGTATGACAAAGCAGACAAGAAAAAAAAAAAGATTTCTCTGTTTGCAGAGGCAGATACTTTTCACTACTAGAAGTGCTCAGAAAGCACAGGCTGGGAAGAAAAGGTGCAGGACAATACAATCAGAAGGATGTATGAAAATTCACATTTAACAATCCCATATCCTCATTCTGCAAAGCTGCTTAAAGCAGATCATCATTCATGAGGAACACACTGAGCCACCCGTATCTAAATCCCTAAATGTGTCCATTCACTCCTTGCAAAGTTAACAAGCCAAAATAGCAAAGATATGAATGTTCCTAAGAGACAATTTGACTTTTTCCACTTGACACCAAGTACTGTCCAGCAATGCAGACCCAGAAAGAATGTTCCATGAGCACAAACTGACCCTGTGACACAGATTAAACTGTCTCATTTAAATTTCTTTGATTCAAAGCCAACAAAATCTCCAAAACATGTAAACTCCTGTTTTATTACATCAATTACACTGTTTTGCCACCCCCACACACTTACAGGGGATGCGGAAGCTGGTTAAAACAAGTCAGCCCAGAGAGACTGGAATGAAGGTTGAAAAGGACACACACACATACACACAGGAATTCAGATTTCTCCAGGCAAAGGAGAGGGGAATAGGCAGCTTTGCACCTATCAATTAAGTCTTGCAGGATCTTGGAAAGTCAGGATATAGGATCCTCCACCAGCCTCAGAGAAGGCCTTGAGGTAGTGATGGTATTTCACAAAATCTCATTAAATCTTGCAAGAATGCAGACTGTCATTACATTTAATACACAATGCAGCCAAACCATTCCAATTCCTTCCAGTATTCCTTCTTAAACACAATCCAGGCAATTATTTCAGGCAGTGTTTGTCACAGGAGCTTGGAGTGACCTCATCCTAATTATCTGCAAAGGAAGCCTGCTGTTCAAAGGGAAATCAGCTGTAAAGCCTCTGCCAAGTTCCAAGCTTTGCAACACTCGTTGGGTTTTCACAGTGTCAGCATTTTCATCTGCCCTCAGCAACCACACCCAGCTCAGTTTGAGTGTGAAAATGCAGATCTGGCCAGTGCCATGCATGAGAAACACATTCTTCCTGCATGAGACATAAGACAACTGTACAATTAAACTAATGATTATTATAGAGAAAAACATGCAAGCGCCCGAGGAAGGATTTAAATAGCTTTTGTCAAACCTACAATCTTTACACAGCCCTCGGTCAGAAGTCACTGGGAGTCAGTGGAGTAAAATATGGCTAATTGTCAGTATTTTTCTTTATAAATGCACAGTTTAAACGTGAGCATGCCCAAGAGGCTGACCCAGCCAGCCCTCATTCCAGTTTGATCACTCAAAAAAATAATCCAGTGAGCACTGGCTGATATGACACATGCTTCCCATAAATTGATCTTGAAAGACATTGAAATCAGCCTCCAGGGTGGTGAATGTTTCTCCCCACCATCCTGTTCTTCTGATCTAAGTTTCTGGAGCCTTGATTCGGGCAGTCGATGAAATTACTACTGTTTTACAGATTAGAAGAGATCAACCAGAAATAGCCAAAGTTGGTGGTTTCAAATCACTTTGTTCTGCCACCAAAGCTGCACTGCTTTACCACTTGGTCCATGTGCTGAATGTGGAGGGCACTGCTCACTATAAAAGACAAGGGCACAGTGTAAGCATTTCTTGTAGCTCTAAAGAAACAAGAAATTCCCTCCAAAAGGAAAATTCCTGTCTAATTTGTGCACGTGCCACTGTCAGAGCTGGAAATGCAGACACCTTCAAAGGGATGCAACAAATCTTCCTTGCAGTTGCCAGTTTGACCAAGAGATGGTACTGTGGGAATACACAGCCATTACAAGGCAGTGCTGATGGGATAAATACCTGCTTGGATCTAAACCACTCTGATTTAGAGGTTCATAAACACATACTTATATTGCAAAGGTGCATTTAAGAACACCTCTGAAATCCCTTCCAACCTCAACCACTCTGCAATTCTGTGAAAGTGAATCTGTACAATCAAGGCTGTGCTGTAAAAGGACTAAAACACAGGGAGTTTTTATTTAGCCTAAATGATGCATATAAGCAAGAGATTGTAAAGTCTAATATGGACATACTAAGAAAAACACCGAGTTCTATTGTGTAATATTGTGTGATTGTCTTCTCAAATTACTCTTGAATTTGTGGAAGATCATAGGTTTCTGCAAAACTATTGGTGACTCACTCCACAGTGAAAGATGTTCATTTCTGATATCTTATTTCCTATCTTTTGACCCATCATTTATCCATCCAGTGGTGTCCCTTTAATATTACAGCAACTTAAAAAATGTGCTTAGCCCAACTCTGCAGTGCAAAACTTTTAAATAGTCTGCATTATGCTACAAAAATTCCACTTCTTTTAGTTGCTGCCTTTGGCACATTTCCTCATTTTGAAGAGGTTTCACTTTTTTGAATTAGGCACAAGAGCAACGGATGTACTGACTCATATTTTTTTAACTCCTTGAAGAGTTTAGGATCTAAGTAGCTTGGGGTCAATGCTGTAGAGCAGCTCTCCAACACTTACATTTGAAGTGCATTCTGTGCTTTGTTTAGAGCCATATTGAGATTTGCATTCCCTACTCTGGAGTTCCCAGTGCACAGCTTCTTGAAGGAATTGTCCCTGTCTGTCTCTAAATGCTTCACATCCCGCTGTGGAATTTGACCTCATCTGTTGGGTGTCTTCAGTGTGGCCTGAGAGATAAAAGAGCCCTTGACATCTGCACACCAGGCCAGCAAGATAAGCTGGAAAGGTGGCAACATCACGTCCCACCCTGTATAAAGAAATCAAGCAACCAACTTTGCAAGAGGACAGTTTTTACAGACAGCTGGAGGAAGGATCTGTTGCCCAGCAGAGTGAGCAGGAGCTGAAGACTTTCATGGTACAGGGAACCAGCCATGGGCCAAGGTAAGCAAAAATCACTTTGGTTAGTTCCAAGCATTTGCAAGCTGTGTGTCAGGAAAAAAAAAACAACTGTTCTTGCTCCAAGACAGTGTTCATGAGGCTTTAGAAGAGCTGAGCTTACAGGGCAGGAGCCAAGACTGTGCTCTAAAAGCTGAGGGAGTTGGGTTTGCATGGCAGACTGCACAAAAAGGCACAGCAAACAAAAGTTGGTATCAATGTCTAAGAGGAGCTTGAGAAGCAGCAAGAAGCAGCTAAGGCAGACAGGTGAGAGTCTGGAAGCAAAGGCAAGTGAGGTATCCTCGACAGAGGGAATGGAGGGCAGGGGTGGTGGGAGGTAACCCAGACTACAAAACTGAAGCAGAGAGATGATGAAGTGTTTTAGCCACAGAGCAGGGAGAGGGTCCAGGTTCCAAGCAACCTGGAAGAAAGTGACAGCAAAAAAGGCAGCTCAGTAGCCACTTGACAGCAGAACAACCAAGCTCAGAGTGAAGGCTCCCACAGTTACTGGTCAGAAAGTCTCAAAGGCAGGGAGGGAATGTCTGAGTGGAGAAAACACTTGGTCAGCTGTTTGTGTGTCTCAGAATGTGGCTCTGGGCCAGACTGCAGGCAGTTCACAGCCCCAAACTCATTCTGTATCTTCTCACACTACAGGTCTGAGCTTCAAAAAATGCGATTTCAAGGTCCCCATGAACAACAATAACCACCACACAGAAGAAATCAGCACTGAAAGGCTGATTGTGAGGCGGGGGCAGCCATTCACCATCACTGTGAACTTCTCAGCTCCAGTACACAACTACCTGCAGCAGATGAAGAGGACCTTCCTCATTGCACAGACAGGTAACACCACTACCAAACCTATCACAACTCCACACTCCTGAAGAACAGAGCTGGTGGCAAAGCCATCTCCAGAGCTGGACAGAGGTGCCCACATTTAGACACGAGGGAGTGGACTGTTTATCTGAGGCAAAGTAGAGTCTCCTGCTGCTGCAGGGTCACAACCAGATCCCTTTCCAGAAGAGACACTGCAGCACAATAACCAATATACGTTCACTACTCCATGATTTGAAAGTACTCACAAGATCTCTCCTGGCTTTTGGTTTAGGAATGTTCAGACTTAGGTAGCCTTAAGGAATGTTTTCTAGTGAGACCCCTGAGAAGGGCAGCAATGTTTAGCCCCAGCCTGTTTTACCAAAACTTGAGCATTTGGCTGTGACTCTTGCTCTAAGACTGAATTCCAGGAGTAGCAGGTCTGCACCATTCTGGCAGTGAATACACTGGTTTCTACAAATCTATGAAATGCACATCTCACTTTCAAATGTGGAGGCCTGAGTGCAGTAGTAACCTTAGGAAGGTTCACAAGGCATCAAGCTGCTAAAGGGTTTAGACTCTCTCATGAGGAGAGCTGTGGCTCCCAAACAGACAA